CCAATCAAAGGCAAATCGGACGAAGATATATATGGGAGCTATATCTAAATTTTGACCGATTATCTCCAATTTCAATAGGGTTCGTCCTTGGGCCAAACTAATGATTTGTGCAAATTTTTATCTGGATCGGACAATAAATGCGAACTGTACTTTTTTTACAAAAAGACATGGACAGACGGACGGACGGACATGCATAAATCGACTCAGAATGTGATTCTATGCAGATCATCAAACGGAACTATGGGTCTATCTCGTTTCCTTTTGCATGTTATAAACAAATGCACAAAGACATAATACCCTGACCACCTTGTGGTGTAGGGTATAAATATACATATGCACTAATAAACAAACGTTGTTTTTATAAAAACAACAATAAAGGGATTAAGCCTGATCATTTTGCAGCAAAAAAATATTCCTCATCAGAATAAAATTATATGGCGATTTAACGATGGCCGTCTATCTGTTATAATTTAAAGCTTTGAAATTTGGCACAATGGAAAATGGGCTATATTGGACAACGCTTGGGTATAGTCACCCTATAACAGTACCTCCAGGTTTTCGGTATTTTAAAGGTTTCTTCCACAATTTGTAACCAAATCAGCAGAAACGTAATAATTGGTGTTCTATGTAGGCCTATTCCCCCTTTCCGAACAATGTTGGATTCAGGTCCACTAATTAGTACAACACATTTTCGGTATTTTGAAGGTTTCTGTAAAATTTCGAACCAAATCAGCTGATATTTGTCATGTGGAGTTTTTGAGAGGTCCGCTCCCTCCTTGCGAAAGATGTTCGATTCAGGTTCACTATATAACGATACTACCAGATTTTCGGTATTTTGTAGGTTTTTGAAGTCTGCCAAATTAGATGATAATTTATTTGGGTTATTTTTTATTTTAATTAAAGCTGATGGTTATTCGAAGTTAGCATATTCTATTCTTTTCATTATTTAATTTTTCTTTGATAAACATGTGGCGGAGAGTGTAAAAAGTTCGACGCTGCTGAAATTAATTCCCTATAAAGCTATATCGGCTAGTTTTAACGATTCATCGCCGTTCGCAGCAATTGGGCCACTATTACTAACGACGGGGACAATTTTGGGGGAGGACTACTTTTAGGTCGCGACCGGGATAAGAATTACTTTTTCGAATCATAAATGGAACCAATCGAGTTTCAAATTGTGTTACTCAAATAGATTTTGACGAATTACAAATAAAATTTCAAATATATGGAAAACATGGAAATTCCTTATAAAAAACATGCTCTAACACCGCATAATAAATTCCATCCCTTTGTTATAATTTCTAATCCCGATACTGTCCTTGTTCATTCATGCAAAAATAACACACCGTATAGACAGACGGCACACGTTGCGGAACATAAAATTAAAACGTGAGTAGATTCGGTGTTCATTCATTCGCATGGCTGGCGAAATAGAAAAAAGAAAATCTAGTGTCTGAGAGAGAATAAATACAATGTACATGCATAGACGTAGGACAGGAAAATGGGCATACGCGTACAAAGCTAAATAACAGTTAAATTCAATTGATTCTGATGTTCATTTGCTACCTCATACAAGCCGTGATGCAAACATACGACGGCAGACGACATCAATAGACAAAATAACAACAAAAAGATCCGGTCCAATATAAAAGCAATGCAACTGAAATAGACGCAAACACACACACACACACAACTTGAAATGTAACAAAAACCATTTAGGGTCATCCAACATGGGGAAAATACAGTTTTTGAGGGTTTAACTCCAAATCTTAAAGCTATGGGCAAAATGCAATATATTTTATTACTCATTTCATGTGGCTTCATAATAACGCCCACAAGGTGCACATTTGAAGCTCTACAAACGGGGGTGAGTGTTGCTTTTAGTAAATTTGTATGTAATAACCCTGCCATGGAAGTTGTTCTCCCACAACAATTTATGGACCTTGAAAAATCACTAAATTCGCCTTGAAGAAGAAAGCATCTTTAATTGGATTTAGGTAGTCATATTGGTGTAATATCCAAAAACGAAACACGTTCAATAGGGGAGTTTCTTGTGGAAAAATATTTCAATATAAATTTAATGAAATATCTTGCCACTATTTTGAAAATTCCACAAACATTTTAAATATTTTATGGCAATAAAATGCATATTAAGCATACAGGCCGGTTATAATTTTTTGAGCTGAATTTATGAATTCATATCATACATATTTTAATGTAATTTGTTCAGGTCGATAGATTTTGAAATGTTTATTTAATGCAACCATTTGATTTGAATATTTCGAGCAATATTTTCAAAGATTGATCTACAATTTTTATACCTTCTACATTGAAAAGGAGGGTCTGTTAACCTTGTCATTCTGTTTGGAAGAGGTAGTATTATTCCTTGTAGACCCCATAAAGTATTTATACTCATGATCAGCATAAAATTTGTCGTTATTTCACGTAGAGCTTCAAAATTTTGCAGAACAGTTTGCATTGTGTCTAGGAGGGTTGGTATTAAAAATGAGATTTATCGATCCACATTTTGGCATAGCCGCCGATATTCGGTATTTTGATGAATTTTGCTACATTCATTCACGGATTTGTCATTTCTAAGCCACTCGTCCGACAGCTGTGGCCGAAAAATGGCTCATGAGCTGAACATATCGCAATATTCCATTCGGCAAATTTTGAAAAATAAGCTCGGGGTAGAGCCATTAAAATTCCAGCCATTAAAATTCCAGAAAATTTTGAAAAATAAGCTCGGGGTAGAGCCATTAAAATGCCAGTGCAAGTGCAAGAACTTATGCCGCAACAGAAAGAAAACAGACTCAAAAAAGCTAAGCAAATTTTGAAAAATAGGCTCGGGGTAGAGCCGTTAAAATTCCAGTGCAAGTGCAGGAACTTACACCGCAACAGAAAGAAAATAGACTCAAAAGAGCTAAAGAGTTGCTTCACTTGGCCGAAAGGGGTGAACTGCCGAATTTGGTTTTCTCCGATGAGAAAACATTCGTTGTCCAGCAGTTTGTAAAGAAACAAACTGATCGTGTTTACTTGCCGAAGAGGTTATTTGAAAATGTGCACTTTCGGTTGACCACCAGAAGTCAAACGCCGGCCATGGGCCGCCATAACAGCTGATGGTCACTCTCCGCACATATTAATCGTCCGTGGCATCGGAATAAATGCCGAACATTATCGCGAAAATACTCTGGAGGGTGTATTAAAGCCTTGAGCACGCAAACATTTTGGCGGCAAACCTTGGATATTCTAACAGGACTCAGCACTCGCCACCCAAGAATGGTCACAAAATGACGTTCCTCGCTTCATTTCTAGCGCACAATGGCCACTAAAATGTCCGAATACCAATGCTTTGGACTATTGTGTCTGGAGTATTTTGGAAAGCAAGGTGGGAACTTAAAAATACCAAAGTGTCGATCACCTCAAGCAAGCGCTTCGCCGGGAATGGGCCAAAATACCGAAGAGTAACATTCGGGCAGCGTGTGACGGTTTCATTGGCCGTTTGTAGGCTATAATTCGTGCCAAAAGCGACCAATTCTAACCAATCTAAACTTATTCTGAAATTTGATGTTATTTCCGACATTTTTTGTTTTCATTCATAAAATTCAAAAAAAAAAAAAAAAAAAAAAAAAAATTAAAAATTATGGCGTTTGACGTACCCCATATAACGGTACCACCCGATATTCGGTATTTTTGTGATTTATGCCACATTTTCCCCACGGATTTAGGTCCACGTTTTTCTATAGTGCACAAATAACTATACCCACCGATATTCGGTATTTTGATAATTCTAGTCAAATTTACTCATGAAATTGTTTCAAATTTGCTATTTAAGACTCGCAGTAGATAACAATCCTTGTAGTATAAAATTGTCTATATAGGTTTTCGTTTTGGTATGGCCCCTATTGATTACACAATTGAAGCCAATCGACACGAGGACAGGGAAGAATTCTAGCATTTTGGATGATGACCATTGGATATTGTTTAGCTGTAAAATGGACCGCCACAACTAACAGCATGACGGAGTGCGTAAATATTGGGCAAATGTCCCTGGTCGAAATTCTAAGGTTAATATCTGGGCAGTGTTCCGTGACATAATTTTAAAAGCGAAATCTTCCAAAATGGATTTGGATATTAAGAGGCTCCTAAAATATTGTAGTGTTGTAGGATAACACATGGTCGGCCCCGCACGACTATAGCCTTTGCTTACTTATTGCATATAAAATAAGTTTTTTTTACCCAAAGGTGGAGGGTATTAAAATTTGGGACGACCAAAGTTTATGTTTTTATACCCTCCACCTTGGAAAGGAGGGTATATTAACTTTGTCATTCCGTTTGTAACATCCTTAAATATTCGTCTTAGACCCCATAAAGTATATATATTCATAATCAGCATAAAATTCTAAGTTCTAAGTGATATAGCGCCCATATAACGGTACCTCCCGATATTCGGTATTTTGATGGTTTTTGCCACATTTTTTCACTGATTTGTCTAAAAATTGGTATTTGTGGGTCATAATGGGCTCTAGTTCGTGTGGCAAAACATTGTAATTATAGGTCCACCTTTTGGTGTAGCCCCCATATAACGGTACCTCCCGATATTCGGAATTTTAATGGTTTTTGCCACATTTCTTCTAATGTTTCTTTTACCCTAAGGTGGAGGGTATTAAAAGTTTGGCCCGGCCGAAATTAATGTTTTTTTACTTGTTTTTAATTGTTATTTTTTATGACACAAGTTTAAGGCCTTTACTATAGAATCGATTTATATTGTGTTCCGGCATTCCCTCAAAATCTTCACTCCCAAAAACAATTAAAACTTTTACTTTCATTTTCACAAAAAATCATACTATCTACAATATTCAAAAGCCATCAGCACTTTCATTTAAGATTTATAATTGAATTAAAATCGCAGTTTCTCTTTTGCAATATTGAATTACCCATTGAAAAGAAAATGAAAAAAAAAATTTAACTTATTTCGGTGATGTGTAAACGCAATTTACCTTTAACAATATTGAGTTTCTTCAAACTGTCGTTACCACAAAAACAAAGTGACAATTACCTGGAAAGAAAAACACGAACAAAATCAATGAAAGTTAATAATATTAGTCATAATAAATTAAATAAAAAAAAATGAAAAAGGTTTGTTAGAAATTTGCAAAAAAAAAGAGATAAAAATAATAAACATTATGCGGAAACCTAAAAGTGGTTGGCTGGCAGCGGGTCATAAATTTTCTCAAACGGAAGAAAGTCATTTCGAGTTTGTAAAAAAAAAAAAAACAACAAAATATTACCATCCACAATGGCACAATTGCTAATTTTTGGGGTAAATGAACGACAGATGGTCATCGATTGGTTGATGGTTATCGACCACAAACTGCTGCTGCCGCTGAGTCACCAGAAAAAGCCTTAAATTATATTTCTAATTTGAAACTCAAAAAAAAGGGTTGTAAACTCCAACAAAATGTTGATGAAATATTTACGATAAGAAGATACAATTTGCGCCATTGGCCATCAAAGAATGATCATAAACCCAAATTTAAACAACGTCATCTTTGGAGAGAATAACAAAAAAACAACAGAAAACGTTTTCAAAAAACAAATAAATTTTATGGAAACACAAATCTTGATAGAATAGAAGTTAAAGGCAAATGTGGCCATTATACATTGGGAACAATGACAAAGTTGGAAATGGCGACCAAAAATTTGTAACTCTGTATTAGACACTCTTTTTTGGGGATGCCATCAGAGATTTGCAAAAATATTGATATTGGGAAAATTATGGAGATTTTTTAAAAGAAGGTCTTAAAATTAACTATCAAATCTTCTACAGTAATTTATCGTTTAGTGGTACGGCATATGGTAACCTGTTTTCGTGAGGCTTAATAGTAACCGTAAAATCTATGAAATTTGTGGCTTGGCTATATGTCATAACCTGTAAACATACTGCCAAAACATTAGGACCTTCTAATTATGCTTAATGGGAGGCTAACAAGTCGAATTACAATCGATATAATTCGAATTACAAATGGAATTCTCGAATTACAACCGAAATGTTACGAATTAAATAAAAAATAAAGGGTGAGATATAAAAACTGCAACAAAGTCAAACGCCATAATTTTTACATTTTTTGTTAATTTTATTGAATGGAAGCAAAACAAGTCGGAAATAGCATAACATTTTAGAATAAGTTTAGATTTGTTCGAATTGGTCACCTTTGGCACGAGCTATGGCCGCTTGCTTCAGGTGATCGTGATGGTCCAACGGGTTGGTATCCGGAGATTTTGGTAGTCATTGTGCGCTGGAAATGAAACGAGGAACCTCATTTTGTAGTCATTCTTGGGTGGCGCGTGCTGGGTGCGATGGTGCTGAGTCCTGTTGGAATGTCTAAAGTCTACGACCAAACTGTTTGCGTGCCCAAGGCTTTAATACACCCTTCGCGATAATATTTGGCATTTATTCTGATGCCACGGTCGATTAATACGAGCGGAGGACGACCATCGGCTGTTATGGCGGCCCACACCATCACCATGGCCGGTGCTTGAGTTCTGGTGGCCAACCGAAGGTGCAGATTTTCAGCTGACTTCTCTGGCAAATAAATATGATCAGTTTGTTTGTTTACAAACTGCTGGACAACAAATGTTTTCTCATCGGAGAAAACCAAATTCGGCAGTTCACCACTTTCGGACAAGCGAAGCAACTCTTTAGCTCTTTTGAGCCTATTTTCTTGCACTTTTTACAATTTCAATGGCTCATTTTTCAATATTTGCCGAATGAAATATTGCGATATGTTCAGCTCACGAGACATTTTCGGCCTTGACGTCAGGCTACGCTACCAGTATTACGGTAACGAGCGATGGTACGAGATACAAAAAATTTATTCACATTTAAATGCTGGAGTGCTCTAACGATAGCCACTTGTGGTTTTCCAGCCAGATATAAAAAAATCACACCATCACGCTTGAGTTCCATCACGAAGAACTTTTTTTCTGCTCACCAAAATGCTTCTGTACGCTTGTAAATAATATAATGACCTGTCACTGGAATCATTTTAACACCTGTCGGACGAGTGGCTTAGAAATGACAGCAGTCTGAAGTTGGTTGCAGTTTTACACGCTCTGTATCCCTAATTTTGATGGTATAATTAAGGGACCCATTTTTCTGAAATCGGACCTAGAGTTTGAAGATGGTATTGTTATAAGGAGCATTTACATTTAAATATTTTCATGCAAATTTTCCCATTTGAAAAAATCTTTCCAAATATCAATACTCGTTCTCTAATTTTCAATCGAAAGGAATATAAAGAATGTATTAATTTCCAATTTTAAAGGTCGATCAGTCCTCATTGATCTGCAAGCAACACATTGCTAGGAATTTTAGTAGGTAGAAGAAGATTATATGCATGTGTCATAGGATTTCTTGGTCCCACGATACCATACCCTCTAATGTTCCAAAGCGAATACAAAACAATATTTCAAAATTTTAATTCCACTACATATACAATGCAATCAGCGCCAGGTTAGAATTGCACCTTTAATGTATTTGCGATTCCATCAGGGTGTTACGTATAGCATATTTTTGAATAGAGTTTTTTGTTTTTGTACAAAAAGTTATTGTCCATACAAAATGGTGCGATCATCTGCAAAAAGTATGCATCTAATAATTTCGATCGGGCCATAAATGTGACATATATCTATATCGAATCAACTGGGCGAAATAGGAAGATCGATATGCTATATGGTATGTCGAGGACCAATATTTCGAGATGTTACAAATAATTGTCCAACTAAACTTACAATACCCCAAGAACATATTATAAAATCTTAAAAAAAAAACTACTAAAAACGACATCCCTAATCTTTATGGCTCCCATTCTACCAATCGTTGCAATACTGAAAGTCTCGTCTTGTTTGTTGAAATGACTTATGGAACTGCGGTCACTGTTAAAACAGAGTCATATATCAAATGACTGCGATCTTGATTATTTATTAATTTATATAAAAGAGCCATGTGTGACACTGAGCGACCGAGCGAGACAACACACAAAATCAATCTCAGCATCTGCATTTAACAAATGCACAAACACAATGATGGGCACACTGGGCAGACACTGGCTGCCTGTAATAAAGATAACTACCATCCATCCGTCGACGACCCTCCATCTAAAACCAAAATAGCAATGGAGTAGTAAGCGAAGGGTAAAAGGGATTTGGTTTTTGTGTTTGGAAGCCACTCTCTCTTCTCTCATATATCATGGGTCATTGATGATGGCAGACTGCTGCACTTTTTCCAAATGCAACACGAACAACATTAGTAAACTAAAAGAGGCGACACATTTATGCCACACACTCCATTCGATTTTGTATTACAAGACACCATCATCAACCGCACATAGAGATTATAAAGATACAATATAAGGAACTCTTATGTAGCAGTGGTGGCTTGAGGTTGGTACTCGCACATTTATACATATCTCCGTCCTCAATATGAATGGAGTCATCAAATGGTGTAAAACGTTGGAACAACGCCTAAACTTTCCAGGTCGTAACAGTTGTACTACTAGTATTCGTTGTTGTTGTTGTTGTTGTTGTTGTTATAGAGGTAGTCCATAAAGTATTAGTCATTTTGTAACCTAGAAAAGCAGCCATTAGTTGAATCTTCATTTAGATTAGATTGTGGCCAAGGGAAATAGAGTGACCAACAGTATCTGGGAAGAAAATGGAATGGGAAATGTACATATGGAAAAATAAAAACTTCGTAATACAAAAATCGAATTTGTGTGGCGAGAGATGGCTCTTCAAATCGAGGAAGAATTGAGAACCATTTGGAACTTTAGAAGAAAAACGTAAGTAAGGTCTACAATGTATTAAGATACCTCGATGAACATTGTCAAGGCATTGAAGGTTTCTTGAAGACCTTCTTCGTATGAAAGATCTTTGAAGAAGTATAAAAGGTTGTCTATGTATAAAAAATCTCTTCCAGGTCTTCTACGTATTAAACACTTCTTGACGGTCTTCTTTACGTTCTACATGTGGAAAAGACAAGGGATCCATTTCTTGAAACGCTCCCCCGCTTATAAGAGATCTTAGTCTACGTACAGTAGACTTCTTATAGTTTTTCAATCTACACAATGATTCTTCTGTAAGGAAGATCTATAGCTGGTGTTCCATGTGTATAAGCCCTCTTGAGAATTTTCAGAAGTACAGGTGCAGGTCAAGCCGTGGTCAACATTTGCATTAAATAGTCTTTAAATATAAATTTACTAGCAATGGGCCCGATACTTCGTCAGCGAAAATTGCACCATTAAATTTTAGATTCGTTAAAAAAGTTTATGTTAGGCGTTTCCAGTACTCAAAATGCATTTTTTCAATTTTACAACATTCTTCAGTCAAAACTTCATGTATATTTTTCCCACCTTCAAGGTTCTATGAATATTATTCATGTTTTCCCTTTTTCGGAAAGAACTACACACAACAAAATCACATCCAATTTTTTCTCCAAAAATATTTCAACGTCTCCATATGTAAATTAAAAACCCAACAGAGATCTCAATATCAAATTTCAGAATTTCAGCTCTATCTAATATACCACTATAGTACGTATTTCCAAACCCACCTCTAACTCTCAACCTCAGATACCAGTAGTTATATATTTATCATATTTCAAAATTTGATCTCTTTTCCTTCATGAAAGGCCGAATTTAGTATCATTTTGTACTTTTCATACAATTTAATACAGATTTCCAAAACCATTTCCATCTCTTAACCACAGACACTAAAAAATTCGATATAGATGTCGAATTTTAGGGTTTCAGCCCCATTAACAAATTTAGTACAATTATAGCACGCATACCAAAACCAGCTCCTTCTCTCAATCACAGACAGTATTAGTAAATTTAGTACCATTTAGTGCAATTATAGCACGCATATCTAAGATAAGCTCCTTCCCTCAATCAAAGACACCAACAGTGACATTAATATCAAATTTCAGAATAACATCTCTATCCTTTCAATCAAGACCAAGTTTAGTACCATTCACTGTTTTTAGTACAATTATAGTTC